GGTGAGAGGAATCATCTCTAGGTCTGCCCAGCTGAGGATACTGGAGGGGTCCTGTTGGCTCCCACCACTGCTTTATGTCCCCTGACTTCACTCCTCAAGCCCTGAGAGCAAAGTTTTTCACTCTGGGGGCTGCTGGGAGTGTCCCCCTGGTGCCAGGACAGATGGAGGGGCTGCACAGAGCTCCCTGCCCTGCTGGGCCAATGTACCTGTGCTCATTGCAAAGCTGCAGCTGAGAAAAACACCACCTGGAACTCAGGCTGTCCACTGCACACCAATTTGAATCACCAAACTTTGTGTTAAAGCACAGCCTGGGGAAGAGCAACTTGCTTTATTTATTTATTTATTTTCCCCTGAATGCAGTTTTTATTAGCCCTGAAATCCAGCCCCCTTTCCTTAGCTGGAAGTATATGAGCAGCCTTCATGTATAGGAAGATTACAGTGGTATAGTAGAAAAATCAAACCACTAGAAGCTCTTGAGGCATAAACTCAAACCCTCATTAATCTCTGTGGGCTGCATCTCAAACCTGGGTTTTTGCAGAACGTGGGTGGTGTTTTCAAAGTGAGCTGCTGGGATTGGTTGGCTGGGAGGATTGACTTAGATAACAACATATTTCTGAACCTCAGCCCTGAGGATCAGCAGAGGCCCTGAACAAGGTGCAGGCTGTGCTTTGGGCTGTGTGTGGCACATCCAGGGGGGTGTCTCTGGCCTGGGGGTGGCTCTGGATCCCTCCAGTTCCATGCTGGGCTGTGGACAGCACAGGGAGCAGTGGGACTGGCACATGGAGCTGTCCATGGACTGTTTTGATTTTTCTGGTGCTCACTGATTCAGTTACAATGGGCTTTTATGTGTCTACTTCATTCTTTTTAATTTTTTTTCCAAGAAGCAGTTGAATTTCCATACCTGGGCCAGCTCAGCTTTTTTTTGTTGTTGTTGTTTTTTTTTTTTTTTTTTTACTGTGAAACCCCAATTAAAACTGAAGTGTGGTGGATGTGTCATCCCAGTAATTCTGTGTCACTCCTGTCTTTCACCCTGCCCTCAGAGAGGTCCCTTCCTGCTGCCAGAGCACCGTGGAGATCTGAGTGTCAGGAATAAGGTTGTGCTGGTTTGGCACAGGAGAGCTGCACTTGGCTCCTGAGCTTTCCCCTGTCTCTTAATTGCACGGGGGAGCACCAAGGCTGTTGGTTTAAGTTGTCATAATGCAAAGATTTCTGAGTCAGCCTTGCAAGAAGAACAGCAAGAAATAACCCACTGTGCTTGTGGAAGTTTAGGCTGTGAGTGAAGTGTTGTTTTTAATCAAGGACAGACTTTTTGCCTAGAAAGAGGCACAAGGAAGGGGCTTAAGGCTCAATTCCAGCTTCAGGAAGGTTGAATGCTGGAGGGATTATCTGTCAGGATTTGGAAAGAGCTCACTCTGCTATCACAAGTGTCTTGGTAGCTCAGATCTAGGAATTTGCCAGATTTTGTTAGAAGTCCTACTGAAACTGGAGGAATGGATTAAGGAAACCCTGCTTAGCAGAAACATGATTTTATTTTCTAGTTCAAAGCAGTTTGGTGTAGGTAGGTACAGATTGCAAGAGAATCTAACTTTTATATTTTTAATTAAGTATAAATAGCTGAATCACCACTTTGTGGAAGCAGCAATGTTGGCCACAGTAGGTCCTAAATACAAAATTTAGCTGTAGGGAAAATTTTCTTATGGAGCTTTTTCTCTGCATTTTTTGCAGATGGGAATGAGTGAGAGACACTGAAAGATGTGGTGCCCTGGGAGCCAGGTAGACACTTAAAAAGAGAAAACAAAAAAAAGAAGAGTAAGACAGTACAAAGCACAAAACTTATCTGAGTGCATCAAAGTCAGCTGAAGAAATATTGACTTTCCTTCTAACAGGAAAGCAGCAGTTCAACCTTTCTTTGGTTTAATACTACAGTTTAATAAGCCAGATTCTTGTGGCTTTAGGGGCTGGTGAAGCATGTGGGCAGGCTGCTGTAATGAGCTGGAGAAAAACCCTGCAGAAAGAGGATTTTTTTATTTTCCCCCCTGTATCTTCGGATTTACCGCGGAGCATCCCAGAGGCAGAGCTGTGGATTAGTTGTTCGTGAGCACAACCTGCCGGCTCCCTCTGCAACCAGCAGCAAGAGGCACCGCTCCACCTCCCTCCTCCCTCATCCGCAGGGATTCGCGTTGAGTTTGGGAATGCTTTGGGCTGCGTCTTCCCCTCGGGAATGGACAGAAATCCCGACGAGGCACCCACAGCCTTTATTCTGAAGTGTGGAGAAAATACAGGGAAACGCCTCGCAGCTCTCTGCGGGTACAGCAGTTCTGAACTTTCACGGGGAAAAGCTCCTAAAACAGGCAAAACAGGCACACAAAAAAATAGTTTCTCTCCTCTCAGAGCACCAGGGTACTTGGGGGTTTTGGGGACTGTGGCATTCCTACAGGCTGTGCCATCAGTTGGCATTTCCAGGCTCAGTTATTCCTACCACCTTATGACCCTCTCTCTCAGCTGTATCCAGTGTCTGGGTCTTTACAGGATGAATTCAAGTTTTTATTTGGGTCTGGGACTCCTCATGCAGATTTGACCCAAAGCATACTGTTGTCCAGAGAACACTTTTGCATCAAACCAGCTTTTTAATTTAAGCTTTCACCTCCAAATGAAAACCTTGCAGTGAGGTGCTGCAGTCCCTGTGCCAGAGTCCTTGCCATCAGAAGTGCTGCTGGGTACCAGGATAATGGAACTGGCAGCCCAGCTCCAACAGGGCAGTGCAGGACCCTCTCAGCCACTGGGAGAACTTTCCTACTGACTTGTTTTCAAAAGCAACTTGCTGTGGAGTCTCTGTGCCACCCACTTGGGTGTACAAGAGAAAAACTTCCATCCTAAGGAAGATCTCAGCCATCCCTCTCCTGCTTCCTCGCCACATGGACATGCTGGGATGCCAAAGCTGTGCCCACCACAGGGGCCTGGAGTCAGGGCAGCCACTGCTGGAAACTCATCTCATCACCAGATCCCCCCATGCTCCTGCTGTGTAAGCCTAATTAAACTCTTACAGCAGAATAATTAATCATTAGTAAGGGAATTAAATATTAGTCTGTATTATAGTAAACATTAGTTGTATATTAACAAGCTCGTTAGCTATTCATTAACCTTTTAAGCTCTACAAAATCCCCTCTATCACACTGCAGGTTTGTGTTAAATGTCTGTCTCAAATGACCTGGAGTGAGTGGAGTGCCCTTTTACCTGCTGCTAAAGGCATCAGGAATTCCAGGACCTGTTTAGTTCTTACACCCCTTTGGTTATTATCTGCCTTCCTATTTGATTTGATTTAAATTCAGCTATAGGGAAGGCTTACCTTGTTATTGATATGGAGCCATTAAAACCTCCCAGGGATTGATAGAATCACTTCCCAAATGATGTATGACCACTGAGGCAATGATTATTTTTATCCTGCTGTTGCTCCTGTGCTCCTGGCAGAAGGCATTGGCAGATCTCAGGAGATGCAGAACTAAGGGAGGGCACAGCTAATGGGTATGTTCTTGTTCTAATAAGATTCAGAGGCACAAATTCCATTTTTGCCCCTTCTTTCCAGGTCATTAAGGCAAATCCCTGAATTTCTCTGCACATCCCTTCCTTCACTGGAAGCTGGGACTACATTTCCTGTGCCACCTCTAGCCTTTTTATTAAAATTTAAGTTTTTCGAGGGTGCAGTTTGTGCAGGCTGGTGTCCAGCATCAGATTTACTGCCTTGCAGGGTTTACAGCCCAGTCATGGCCGAGGGAAAATGGTGGGGATGAACCAGGTGAGTGAAGGAGGGAGCAAAGGGATCTGCTGCCTGCAGCATCTAATGCTGTAGTGCTGAGAGATTTGTGGCCAAAGCAAGGGCAGAGCTGCTTTTGGGGGTCACAAGCTAAGTATTATTGTGTCTGGACAGAGGAAACACTTACTCTTCCCATCTGAGAGCCACCTTGCAGCACAGCCTTGGCTCTGGAGTTGTGGCTTTCATTTCCCTCCCCGCTGGTCAGTCAGGGAAGCAAATCTGAGCCAAATGAGGAATGAAAGGACCTGCTTGCCAGGTTCCTATTGGGGCCTGGGAGGCAGCAGAGCTGTTCTGTGGCGGGGTCTGCCTGCAGTGCAGGATGAGTTCTGCCTCCTCCCTCCTCACCTGCAGCCCAGACCTGGCTGTGGTGCAGCAGAGATCTGCTCTCAGCTGGAGAGGTGTCTGCAACCCTGTCCCTGCTGCTCAGGGCTGAGCTGTGTCTAAAACCCTGTCCCTGCTGCTCAGGGCTGAGCTGTGTTTGAAGCCCTGCTCAGCTCTCCTGCCTCTGTGGTGATGGATTGTGTCCTGGCTGGTCCTTACCAAGCAATCATTACTTTCTTGCATCTTTTAATTAGGGCAATTTCTTTTGGCCCGCTGGAAAATGCTTTCCTCATGTGGATTAATTAAGAATAAAGCCTAGCTCTGACAATTTAATGTGGGCTCTGGTCAGGATGCAGGCAGCCTTCTGAGACATTATTCATTACTCCATTCTGATTCTTCCTAACATTTGCTTTTAAACCATGTTTTTCTGAAACTGAGGATGGGAATTGTTAGTTGTTCTCTGCAAAGTTGCAGGCAGAGTTAGTCCAGCTGGAGAGCAAAGCTGTGTGTGAAGCATCACCTCTGTCCTGTGGGCTGCACAGCCCATCCCTTGCTGCTGAGAGCAAGGGCAGGGTGCCAGATGCCCTTGAGCAGCTCCTTTGTTTGGGGATTTGCACCTCTGGCCAGCAGGGGTTCCTGGCTTAAAACCAGGCAGTTCAGCCCCATGAAACAGTAGATCCTGTTAATGCTTCCTGCTGTTTTCTCCTCTCTGTGGTCAGCAGCTGACTGCCTTAGTCTTTGCAAGCAGTGAAACAACTGTCTAGGGATGTGGGCAGTCAATAAATCAATACTGGCTGGTGAATGACTTTGTTCTGATCTTCCTCAGGGTGTCTGTTGAAGTTCTAGTTTGATTGGCCTGGGGGATGTGCAGAATTATGATGATCTTGTGGAGAATATTCACCCTTGTGTGGATGACTTCAGGTTAGTTTCATCCTCATGTGATGTCCCTCTAACATATTTCCCATAAAAAGTTATAAATCTGTATCTACAAAGAATTTGGGTGAAGTTTCATTCTTTCATAGCTTGAATTTGTCCAAGGAATATTAAAACCTGTATTACAAAGTAAGAGGTGTTACAGACTGGATCAAATTCAACTCAGCAGGTGGGTTGATGTGACACTGTCAGGGCTGATGGGACATGGGATCATCCATGGGAGGGTCCCTGGTGATGGAAGGTGGGACAGGGGACCTGCACATCTCAGGTCTAATCCAATCTGGGACCCACCTACTCTGATTTTTCCTCTTCAAACTCTCCAAGTTCTCTCAGAGATCTTTCAGTGAGGCTTCTTAACTTCTTATAAACTAACCTTGGAGAACAAACCACGAATTTAATGATGCCTCTGCTGGCAGCCCATTGATCCACAGTGTGCAGCTTCCTTGGGTGTGTTACTGGGAGCCAGATGAGAAAAGTGCTCTGATGGAGTGGGATTTTGCTTGTCATGGGTATTTATATAAAATCTCCATGCCTGGATACCTTCAGGAATGTAAATGTGAAAGGAGAGGAAGCAGATGTCTTTTAGCAGTACTTTTAAGACATCTTTTAGTCGACTTCTGAAGTCCTAGAGGATACTGGGCTCTTTCATGGCAGATTCCTGAGTGAGATCAGCATCCTGAGTGCCTGTGGCAGGGCTGCTCTGCTTCCCCTGTGCAGATGCTGGAAGAGCAGCAGCTGACAGGCTATGCCTCCACCTGGGACCCCCAAATTTGGTGAAGTTATTCACGGTGTGGTGTTATTTGTGCTGCCCAGGACAGGCATTCCCTGCAATATCCAGCAGCAGGAGAATGTTCCCGTTGGTGTTGCTGGACTCCAGATCAGGCATCTTGCTGAGCTGCATTTAAATGCCCAAAACAGAAGCGCATCTGAGTGTTCCACTAAACTTTTTCATGGACTCAGAATGAGAAATTTAAAATGTGGTGGTTGTTGTATGTTCTGCCTCGAATAGTTCTCCTCAAATTCCTGAGGGGTGCTAAAAATCTAAATGGGAAAGGTACAGAAATACTTTAATATGTATTAATAATCAGGGCAAATCCCTTCCAATTGTCTTACCAGCTAAAGCCTATTAACCTTTGGTCACTCATTTCACTTCTGCTTCCACGCTGGTACCAGCCCCGTGTTTTTCTGAAGCCAGAGGAGCTGAATTTCTCTTCTCAGAAGGTAATTTTACAAATATCTTAATGACCCAATAATTTCAAATTAAGCACCACAAATAAGAAGTCATCTTTGCAGGCTGTACTTGGTCGTGGAACTCTCAATTCCTTAGTTCTACACCTTGAAAATGTATTTTAGTTTGTTTTGAGTTTTGGCTCCTTCAGAAGAGAACCAAAACTCAAAGGTTTTGGCTCTTTCTTTTTGGCTTCAGAATTCCTAAGGTGAAATGGGTTCATCTAGTTATTTCATCATTCAATATCATAGAAAAGCAAAAAAAAAAAAAAAAAAAAAGCCATGTATTAATTAGGTAGCCAAAAGATCAAGCAAATATTTCACTCAGTGTGCAACAAAATATTATGAGGTAATTTTATTTTGTTTCCATTTTTAGGTAAAAATATTACAGTATACAAGATAATCTTATTAAAGGTAAAAATACAGTATTTTGCTTTGTCTCTAAACAGATCTACGTACAGTACACTTTTTTTTTGTTTTCTTTGATTTTTATTTTTTTTTGTACAAATATAACTATTATTCTATTAGGCTATCTGTATTCTCATCTGGCACTTAAGAACTGGTCACAGGTCACCTTCTGGCTCTGCTTGTTTGTTTGTCTCAGCTGATCCCTAAATGCCCCGTTCATTTTAGAGGTGCCTCTTGTAAACAAACAGTGCAGTTCCGTGGGTCCCATGTGGTAAGGTGTGCTTTAAGTAGTTGAAATCCTGGAGCTAACTGGGAAATCCCAAGAAATCCACGATGTTTGCACGGACTCATCACCTTCCTGTTGAAAAAGTGGGATCTGAGTCCTTGTTTTACCTCAGCCTTAGAATGGTTTTAATCCCTTCCTCATCCTCTGTAAGAGCCAAACACTTAAGACAATCATTTCTACACTGATTTTCCCTTTCTTTCCCTTTTTTTAATTTCTTTTTTTTGTCAGAATGTTCAATCAAAGCCTTTCTGTATTAATTTAAAGGGCTTGTTCTTCGTGACTGATCTCACCCTATGGCTTTGCTGTTTGGTCTTGCAATCCGAAAAGCTGAGCTCTGTTGCCTTGCTATCTCTGGATGAATGTTGTTCCTGGAACTGAACACATTAGCACAGGGCATTTATTTTATCTGTGGGTATTCCTGGGAAGTGACTTTCACATCAGCATGGATGTTTCAGTACGCTGTTGTCAGAGGTGGGATGAGTTAAGGACAGAAGAGAGGCTGGGTGCATACCAAGAGCCCACATCCACAGCTGGAAACACAGCTGGAAAAGGTGGAGAGGAGTTTTTGGCTGGAAATCCTTTTATCAGCTTCTAGCAGAGGGGTGAAGGGATGATTTTTTTCCACAAGCTCGATCCATTTTTTTTCCCCAGTGCTGTCATCCAGTCTCTCTGTGTCCTACCCTGCCTTGGTCATTTCAGCAGGTGATTTTTGTTTTCCATGAGCCACAGTGCTGTTCAGGGTTTTCTTCATGGCTGCCCATGTAAACATTTATAAAAGGAGAATACACACCCAAGAATAGGAATTGAAAACATTTTGCAGGGAATATGTTTGGCACATTTTTTTTTTTCTTCAGGCTTCACCCAATTCTGGTCAGGACAGTCTCAGTTGCTATAAGTGAGCACAGTTGTATTGTCTTCTCTGGAGTCAGATGGATGAAGATCTGCATTTTTTGCCTTTAACTGGAGGTGCCTTCTCTGTGGTGCACCTATTTCTGATGTCAAAGGGCATATATTTTTACCAATAAGTCGCTTTTGTATCACAAAAGGTTTAACTGGTGACTCACCAAGCGCAGGAGAGGTGCAAAGTGCTCCTCCCAGCACTTGCTGCAGCGAAAGCTGAGTGTGCAGTACCCATCTTTTACGTGGTTTTCCCCCTCCTAAGATGCTGGTTGAGACTGAATAATGTTAAGAAAACCAGTTGCCTCTCTCTGTATTCACCATCAAATGTCCTTATTTAAGGTCTTCCCAAACTTGTCACTCAGCTGCTGTATTAGTTTTGCCAGCTCACCAGTAGCTTGGGACTTCTCTTCCAAGAGTTCATAGCGCAGACTAGAAATGTCTTGTTTGATCTCTTTAAGTTCTCCTAAAAGGAAGAAAATATTGCTGTTAACAACACTGAATCAAGTGAGTAATCCCTAGGGTTTCAAGACCTGAGAGAGCACTATTTTCAGTGTTGTTTGGTCAGGGATGTGTGTGCAGCTGCAGATGATCTCCCTGCATTATGCACTTTAATATTTGTACTCGTAAGAAAGAAGCTGCACTTGCAGCAGTGGCACTGACAGCAATGAGTCTGTATGGAAAGTTCATATTTTATTTTCTTAAATCTGTTCTCTTCCCACCTATTGACCTACACAGGGCACTTGCAGGAAGGTGGCAGTTAAGAGGTGTTGGAGGTTCTTTTCCCTCTGCATTCAAATCCTCCCTGCAGGGAGTATCCTTGGGGCAGGGCTGGGCAGTGCAGTCAAAAACTGCTTTACTTGGACACCAGGTTGGGTGTTGGCAATACCCTGGCTGTTGTGAAGAAGGAGAGGTAGAGCAGGATAGTGTAATATCTTGTGTGTTCTGTTAAAGAAAAGTTAGAGTTTCCAGAGCTCAGTGGTGGCTCAGAGTCGCCTCAGAGTGAGCACTAAATGAGCTCTCTCTCTACAGAGGATGTTCTCTAAGCTCAACCCTCTTACTGGCCAGATCAGTAGCACATCAGTAACACATCCCATGCTCATTCCATGTGTGAGTTATAAAAAAATCCACTTGCCTTCGTTGACCTCATCGTTTTCTCGGTCAACCTGAGCCTTGAGCACGTATCGTTTGATCAGACGCTTCATGATTTTCTGAAAGGAGAGAAGAAACACTTCTGTCCATGTGAGATTGTCCACCTTGCCTCAGTGCTAGACTTGCTACGGGCAACTAAAACTGTGGGTAATTCTTTACTGACTTCCCATTTATTGTGTATTTTATATTATGAGTGTTGCAGTGGTTGACTGACAGCCATTATGACCCCACACAGGAAGTACTTTGGGGTGTTTTATGGGATGCACGTGAATGTAGAGCACATTCCACTGACAGAGAGAAATCAGATGATCCAATAGAAAGCTAAGAAATGGGTTCCAGAGCCTTTTTTTAGCATGTTGCTGTTCAGTGCAACAATAAAAAATACTTTACAGGGAAAAATAAGTGGTTAATTAATGATATTAGCAAACTTGCTCACAGTGATGAATTAAGCAGCTGACCCGAGGTTCACAGAAAGACTCTGTTAGTCTTGTAATTGGGGGGTTTAGGGGAAAATAAATTTAGAGAGGGACAGAGAAAAGAGAGTTTGAACAGAAGAGTGGGACCTGGCTTAAGTGAGAGAAGCTTCTTAAGGAAATGACAGATTTTTTTAGAGGCATACACAGGGAAAAAACCAGAGCCATGTAGACTTATAAAATGGAAGGTGGTTTTTAGTAAGGAATGTAAGGAGTTTTAGTAAGGAATGGCATACATGGAAGTTGAAGATGGTTGTGGATATGAGCTTGCAATGTGATATTGTTCCAAAAATACGTAAGTTCCATTCACGTAGAAGGAAAGTAACTTTGGCAGTCTGGGGTTACAACTGGAGGCCTGTGACACTGCCAGTTCTTCACTACATGGGAAAGAAATCTCAACTAGGACAAGCACAAAAAGGATTGCTCTGTCAGAGACAGGGATTTAGGTTTTAGCTTTGAACATCGCTGAAAAAAGCTGCAGGCTGTGAAACATGAGTTAAGGACTCAGTACACCTGCTCTGGTTTCTTAGGAGCCAAATAAGGATTATAACAGTGCAAAAGGCAGGTGGAGATGAAAGAAGGATCCAGTCATTTGGAGCCATGGGATGTGGGATGTCTAAGACTGTCCTGGTGCCAGGGAGGCCTCTGGCTAAGCGGGTGGCTCAGAAGGGCACAGCGCACGTACGGTGTGTTGAAGATGGCCAAGGTAGTAGAATCCAGAGGGAGGTAGGGCTGTCACCTGAGAAAACATAAATGAAGGAATGTTTGGGGAAAGAAGGGAAATCCTGGATCCAAAAAAAAATTTTTTTTTTTTTTTTTCAGAGCAGAGGAAATTTAGATTAAAACAAGGAATCAGCACATAGGGAATGCTCTTATTACCTGGGAAAAAAACCAGATAACATAATATCTCTACTTTTTTGCCTCAATATTGCACTGTGGCTTCCAAGCCTTGCTCCTCCCTTTCTCCCCAGCATTGCTCCTTTTGCCACAATGACTGAAATACCCTCGTGTCCATATTTAGTGCAAGTGCATTACTTGATAAACATCGTTAAAGAAAACAGAAAACTGCTTCAAAGGTTTCCCCAGTTGTAGAAGAAAGTTTGTTGGCCAAATTATCACATTGTTTTTTCTTCTTTATATTTAGATGATTAAGACTACTAAACTCCCCTTCTATTATTTGGGCAATTTCTTCCTGCAGCAGCTGAAATGTTCCAAGATAATTTGAAGACAAAGCAAGCAGGGGCATTATTGAATAGCAGGTAGTTATCTTTTTCCTCTCTGTTTTTCACAGTCACATTTGGCTTTTTCAGTCTTGGAAATAAGGGGCTAATTTACCACAAACATTAGGTGGTGTAATTTAGAAAAAAATAGCTCCAGGAAGAGAAGGAGTCCAGCAGAGGCTGACACATCTCCTGGGGGTCTGAGGGGATGGGGAAATGTCAGAAGGGCTCAAATGCCATTTTGGGCAGGACACAATCTCTCATCTCTTTGATGGTATCAAGCCAACTAACTCCAGATGCCAGAGTGAATGTATCCTATTTCTAACTTGGATTTTTAGACACCCCTCCTGTCATGGCACAAAACCCTGAAAGGTTTTTAAAACCAGTAGACATTTATTAGTGGTCTGCTGTGCAGCTTAGGAGCCCGTTGTGCTGGGGGCTGGACCAACCCAGGACAAACCCCTTCTAGAATTGCCACTGCACCTTTTATCTCACTTAATTATTATTTTCCTCAGTTCTCTTCAATGTTGGGCCTTTCAGACATACCAGATTCCTTTTCACTTTATGCTAAAAAAAGGAGAATATCCCATGGGGAACGTTGTGTTTATGGCATTACCCAACAAGAGAAAATAGATCTGCTGGCACAAGACTCTTGCCAAGACAGAGAGCTGTGTTAGTTATGGCACCCACTGCAGCCACGGGGGGATTTTGAACAGCAGCACATTGCAGGTCAAGTCACTGCCAGAGAAAGCACATGCAGATGTTGATGCAACAGCTGGAGAGATGGATCTGTGCCATGGAGGATGAAATGCTGTCAATGCAAGACTGGAGGAGTAGAGGTTGGATGATATTTCCTGTATTAAATTAAATTCCCCGGGGTGGAATTAATTAGCATGACATCAGTTAGCATTTCCACAGGTGACAGGCTGTGTTTATCCCCCAGATGCCCCAGCCCAGTCCCGTGCCCAAGCTGAGCCTCATCCCGGGATGGCATCACTGGAAGGAGGTAAATGTGACCCTGCAGGTAAGAGCTGCTCACTGACACATCTCTCCCCTGGCTCCTGCTTTCATGCTGTGATTACCTGATATCTTGTGGGCTTGTTATAAGCGTTCTTCCCCGAAAAATTCTCTGTGTTTTGAATGATTGAGTGAAAACGAACTTTCTGAAATTATAAAACACCATGATAGGATTAAATCAGTGAGAGCTCCTCACACCCAGACAGCCCCAGACTAAACAGAGCATCATAAAACCAGGAAATGGTTCAATGTATGAGTAAAATCCAGCACATTCAGGCTCAAGAAAGAAAGGAAGAAAGAGAGAAAGAAAGAGAGAGAGAAAGAAAAAGAAAGAAAGAGATAGGGAAAGAAAGGAAGAGAGAGAGAGAAAGAAAGGAAGAGAGAGAGAGAGAAAGAAAGGAAGAGAGAGAGAGAAAGAAAGGAAGAGAGAGAGAGAGAAAGAAAGGAAGAAAGAGAGAGGAAGAAAGAGAGAAAGAACTAAAGAAAAAGAGAGAAAGAAAGAAAGAGAGAGAGAAAGAAAAAGAAAGAAAGAGATAGGGAAAGAAAGGAAGAAAGAGAGAGGAAGAAAGAAAGAAAGAACGAAAGAAAAAGAGAGAAAGAAAAAGAAAGATAGAAAGGGAAAGAAAGGAAGAAAGAGAGAGAGAAAGAAAGAGAGAGAGAAAGAAAGAAGTAAAAAAACCCCAAAAATAAATGAAAAAAAAATTGGGTCCTAAATTAGAAATGGTATTAACACACAAGTTTTAGACAACAAGGTGTTAAGAGGCACAAAGTACTTTAATCTTAACGAGGCTGATGGTGATCAGTTTTAACACAACTTAAGAAAGGAAGAAAAAGAAATACTTATGTTTGGAGAGAACAAGTCTATGTGGTACAAAACCAAATTCTGAAACAATTGATTTTCACTGGTCCTTTTAAAATAACAGTACCATTTGCTACTTCTTTTGGCTCAAAAAAAATTATTTATTTTTTTTGAATAGACCATCATATTTTTATCAGAGGACACAACACAGCTCTAGAAGTTTCCAAGGAGACTTTTCTGGAGACTACACATAATTTTTGTAAGAGGTTTTTTTGACGCTGTTTTCCACCTCTGAATTTTTTGGTCCAAATGCTATTAAAAAAAAAAAAAATAAAATCACTTATTCAAAGGAATTAATTCATACCATAGACCCAGAGAAGGCAATAAATACCATAGAATTCTGTAACTATGTGCAATTAAACAGAGAGGGAAGGCCCTGGTTAAGGGTTTTTCTTCCCTGATGAACCAGAGATCCTGATTTTTTTTGTTTTCAAATCAAGATGCTTATAATGATTAGACTAAAAGCCTGATTAACTGTGTAATTTTTTTCTTACTTCTCTCTTACTCATCAGGTGTGTCATGATCCTACAGAGACTCTTGAAGATGATACATGAACAAAATCAACAGGCAAGCAAGAAATGACTGATACTCTTCATTGTTTATGTTAAAGGCATGGAAAATATGAATTTTGCATGAGTTCCATGAAAAAGGGCAAGCCAGACTGTTTCACTCACGTGGCTTGGGGAAGGAGAGGCTTAGGAAAAATTTCATGACTTTCATTTATGCTTTGGAGCAGAAATTAAATTTCAAACAAAGAGGGCTTTGTGGGGTTAGATTCAAATAACTTTAAAAAATATTATCTTTTTTAATTACTTTAGGTAGCTAAAGGAGAAAGGTTTCTTTCTTTTCTGGACTCCACTGTTCCAGTGGTTCTTTCAGTAATCAGTAGTAGTTCAGTGAATTTGTAGACAAAAATTCCCCCCCCAAAATCTTGTCAATCTTAGCAGTGCTCAGTGGTGGTTAAATTATTTGAGAACACGGAGTAGACCCCAGGGATAGACTTGTCCAGCACCTTCCAGGAGAACCAAGAGATCCAGGCAAAGCCTAAAGCACCTGCACGTTCCCAGTGACCCTCTGCACAGCGTTGCAGAGAATAATTCCCACAGGCATCATAATTTTCTCTAATTTCTCTGGCATTTCCCCATGGAGGAGCAAAGCTAATTCCACTGGGAAGGGAATTTCAAATGCTGAGCCAGAATCTCCCCATTAGTGGCTACACATCACTAGGCAGATGTAACTGGAGAGGTTGTTAAATACAGCTTTAGGGATTCAGGTGTTAATAATCCCTGCTTGGAAATTCGTTCCCAAACCTGCAATGGCAGTAAATGTTGTAAGGACAGTAAAATTAATTTTGGAAACCACTTCGGGGAAGGTGGATGAATTGAAGAGGCAAAAAGGCCTGCTGGGTGGATGAGTTGTCAGACAACAATAAGCTGGTTGTGCCTCTGCCCTTCTCCTTGACCTTGGGACACTCCCTTATAAAGGTGCCTGCTTTTATAAAGTTGCCCTTCCCCTGGTGCCCACACCTCATGCAATGAGGTCACAAGTTTGGGGGGAGCCTCTCCTTGCAATGTAAACACAATGGTGATGTCCAGTGAGAGGCTGTGCTGTCCCTGATCTCCCTCTGTACCAAGTAATCCCCTCCAGAAGGTCCCTGGCACAAATCCCTTCCAGAAAGAAGCTGAAAAGTGAAGATAACACATACCCGTTGTTTGGAATTCAGCATCCCCATCTCAACATCATTTTCACAGTTTTTGGCCTTAGATTTGCAGAGTTTTATGAGGCACATTTTTATTCTCAGTATGAGATAATAAAATGATTTAGGGCTTGGCACTAGATTGAAAGGAGCAGGTAAAGTCCTTCCTTCGTCAAAGTAGGACAGCCAGAGCTTGGCACGTGCAAACTTCCACTCCACATCTGCATCCTCCTTGGGAAGGGAAGAGGGGAAAAACAAATCAACACCCAAATTAGTAAACAGGAAGGAATTTGGCTGTGGTTAGGACAAACATACAGTTAGGAATTAACTAGACTCAGATTCTGTTTGCCAGAAACAAGGCCCCTGAACAAAACCTGTCTTTGTGGTAATCTCAAAATAAGGATAATTTAAAAAAAGCAGTGAATAAACAGAGAGTAGAAGTCCTCCAAATATTAGACTATTTCCTTGGATATCAAAGGGATTGTCTCAGTAACCAGCTTCTGCTGTGCTGATAAATGAATGGGTCAGAACACAGACAGAGTCATGGGAAGCGGAAGAAACTGTTGTGAGCACAGCAACAGACTGTGATTAACTGCAATGCTGTTTGTCAGCTGTCACCACTGCAGCGGCCAGGAATCCCCCAGAGACGGGGGTAGGTCACTGCTTTCTCCTCTCACCAGCTCCTTTCCTCATGGGTCCTCTTCTCCATAGATCAATCCACCTTAATTCTCCTCCTGTCACTGCTGAAGGTGGAGAAAAAGTCCATCATGCAGTGCCTGTGAATCTCCTTCATGAATTGTCAAGGTGGGCCAGAATCACTTCCAAGTAATAAGGGCAAGGTTAGCAAATATTTTATGGATCTGCTTGGCACTTATGCTGGAGGATGGTCAGGGCCATGTATCAGGACCATTTATCAGGAAAAGAAAGGGTGAGAGAGAGCTGCTGAACAGCTTCTTCACTGTGGTTTACATGGTTTCAGTAGGAGTGTGGGTCTGCCAACACCCCGTGCTCATTTACATCTGTGTTCTGCCAAAATTAATAACCTCTGATTACCCTGTACCTCTGAAACCCAGTCAAAAACTGGCATGACACAACAGAGATTAATTCTGTCACAGTTACAGCAGTCTTCACTTCTGCCCTTTACTCTTCTCGTGGTTTGGGGCTCCACCTCACAGAAGCCTGGAGCTGAATTACAGACTAAATCACCTGTGGACAGTTGTAATGCCTTTCTGCTAAGCAGTTAAGAAGTGCTGCTGATGGGAGCAATTCTGTTTCACAGCTGGCAAAAAGGACATTTCTTTCCATAAGTGCAAATTTGTCAGGACACACCAGCCCTCGAGGCATAAACAGAAGCAAAGCAGGAGCAGCTGAAAAGAGATGTTCAGTGGAAGGCAGGAGAACACGGCCTTGTCACTCCAGGTGACAAGAAAACCATGTCCCCACTGATCCCAGAGGAATTTAATTCCTAAGAAATGTCCATCCTCTGTCACCACTGACTTTGCTGCTCTCAGATAAACACAGTGGCAAAAGGGACTCTCTCTGCAGTCAGTCTCCATCCCTGGGGTATATCCAAACACACGTAGATGTGGCACTGAGGGACATGTTTTAGTGCTGGATTAATGGCTGGAGTCAATGGTCTTAAAGGTCTTTTCCTACCTAAACAGCTCTGTGATTGTATGACTCTGTCTTTAACCTCATTGCTGCTGAGGACTGAAGTGAATTATCATGAGATGCACTAGTTTTAACTCAGTCAGGGGGATCAGGCCCAAGCAGCTCACATTTGGGTTGCTTGGTGATAGTTATGAGCAGTCTTGAACAAAGTTCTGAAAATTTCCATGCAGTCAGGAAGGGTGACAAAGCATTTTGACAGGGAACTGCTCATCACAAAGGTTAGGCTCGAAAGGTAATGTAGGCCACCTATTTGGGTATTTTCAGAGGTTCTTTTTGTCTTCAGAACCTTTCAAGAGCATCTCTGTCTACTGCAATGAACTGGAAAATGCAGTAAGAGGCTGAGACCCCTTCTGAAGTAAAGCTTGTTTCAGGTTAAGAAGATTCAGGAAAATGCTTGTCCTGAAGTGATTAGAAACCTTTGGAGGAATGGCTCTGCTTTCTGCAAGCAGGAAAGCTTCTGGGGCAGGGAGCACATGTGAGGTCCCCCTGACATTTAGACTTTGTTACAGCAAGCCCAGGATTGAGTTATATTTGCCCTACATGGATGAATCAGACATTACAGTGAGAAAATATTTTCAGCTCTGGCCTTTTTCAGTGTCAGGCTCTGAGGGGATATTAGGACAACTAATTAATACAAACCCAACTGCAGAAGTTTGACATTTAACAAATCAGAAGAGGTGACTCAACATTAACTTTCTCCAAATAACGTATTTTTTTTTTCTGCCTTTATTTAGATTAGCAGAGAGTTGTTTATGTCTAAAGCATTAAGCAAATCCACTCTGCCAACAGCCACGCTACTGAGCCAGGCTGGGTAAACCCTGCAAATGCCTTTCTGAGAAACTATTCCTTGTGCTTGAGGGCTCTGTTTATGTGCTTTAAAAGTTGCTTTTTGTCAATGTCCAACCAGTCATGTTTTTCAGACCTAGAGACTCTTCAAAAAAAAAACCCAAAACAAATCATCTGAATCAATTTTGTATGCCCAGTAATTGGAAAATACAGAATTTTTAAATGCATATACATGAGCTTCAGATCTACATGGGCTGGAGAGTTTAAGCAGTAGAGAACAGGGCAAAAAGCCAAATGAAATATTACTTTGTTATAAGCAAACAATGAAGTTAAGACAACACATTTGGAGAAGATATCATAACCAGCACAGGGAATAAAAAATAGCATAAACCACGTTCATTAAATACCTGTAAGGGAAATTGTGCTTACTCACAGGGGGTCATTAAAAACAAGGAAGCTGAAGTGGTTCTAGAAATGATTCATTGTTAATGATTAATTCAATTATGGTTTGACTATACTAAGGACTCAGCCCTAACTCTTACACAGTGTAAGATGTGTGGTCAGCATTCTAATCTTGGATACGGAATAAGCTGCAGCTTCCTTGTTTGTTTGCTTGCTTGTTTGTTTGTTTGAGCATTTTCATTATCAGTGGTAATTAAGTGTACCGAGTTCGTAATCTGATTTCTTTGCTTACCTCAATTTCCTGATAGGAGTTGTTGATCATGGCTATCAGCATGTTGAGCAGCACCACCACCATGGTCACGTTATAGACTCCGTAGAGTACATACCCGATGTTCTCAATGAATTTATGGTCGTACTTCAGCACCACAGATATCACTTCAGATAAGCCAAATATTGACCAGAATAAGGTTTTGAAACTTTCTTCTACCCTGAAAATAAAGCAAACAGTCACTTTGTAGGGTTGGCACCGGGTTAGCCAGGCCAAGTGCTAATAAAAAACCAGCAATGCACTAATATAAACACGTGTCTTGGCACAGTTATTGCAGCCCATTATCCATCACCCAGGGATGTGCCAAATCACATTTCCTCGTTTGATAAGGAAATATGATTTCTGATTAATGCTACAAATTTGCAGTGTCCCCTGATTTGCTCCATCTGTTCTTACCAGGTGCATTATTTGTCACTCGGATTTTGTGTCCCTATTAAGGACAACAATTCCATGGGCAACTTGCAGGTTGAAACTTTTTCTGTAGGGCTTTTTGCTTCTGCTCACTCACTCTTTTCTCATCCAGAGAAGACAGAAGAGTCTGACCTCCTTTTATGCAGTTTCCAGGGCAGAAGAGAGGACTGGAAAGTTCTGATTTGTGGCATTAATATAAAGAACACAGAGTGCAAATATAGCCAGACCATAACCTGATTTCCTTCCCATCCTGCTTTGGGACTGCAAGCAAGTCAGACACCCAAGCATTTGTAGCAAAAAATTGAAATTAAGGAGTGGTAGGAGATGTTGCAGAGAGGCATTTTGATTTGGTTATTATCCTTGCTTGAAAGTAGAAAGGCATCAGAGGAAAATAAAAGATAGGAAAAAGAGAAGGGAATGAGCCAGCGAGAAAGAAAAGTGGGGCTGGAAAGAATGTGGCTGCTCTGCCAGGTCAAAAGGAGAGTATGACCCAAGCAGCCACAGCTGAAAAGGAAGGAAAGAAGGAGGAGGAAGGATGTGGCCTATTTTGAAAGCAGTTTGTTTCATTTTTAATTAATAAGGCATTTTGCCTTTCCCCAGAAATCCTTAGCCTGTTAACAGTTAATTGCCTCCTCTCTCCTCCTGCCTGCCAGGAGCAAACACCTTGAAAGGAAACAATGCCATTCACAAATTATTTTGAGGAAATGTTTGTTTTTTGCTAGAGTGGTAGTCTAATCCTGCTAAATCTGTTTATAAAACAGCTTACAGGCACAAACAATGACATATCCTACAGGAACAATAAACTTTACATAAACTCCAGTGTTGATTGCACCATTCATGAAAGCAAGAGGAACTAATTTTTACCCTTTGGTTCCTTTCTGCCACAGCAAGCTGGTATTTATTTCCCATCATAATTTAGGGTATTCCACAGCAGCAATCTGGCCATTCAAGAAATGTTGTGCTGCCCAGTTAAAGAACACGCATAACACCAAAGATCTCTGGCATGGAAAGCCACCACATAAGTGATTTTCCAAGCTAATAAAAGCCCTAAACCCCCCCAGCCTCGAGCCCAGCTGCACCCTGCTGTTAACCTGCCCTTTCCATTTGGAAACCTTCCCGTGCTTTTCCACCCTGCCGGCAGATTTTAATACAACGTGTCAACTCTGCTCCTTTCTCTGCTGCTTAAACATTGACCTTTCTGCTTCAGCGGTGCCAGATTGTCCTTGAAAAGTTAATTGAGGGCTGTCAGCAGCCTTGACCACCCCCGAGCACCACAGAGACAAAGGCCGGGGCACCAGGTTCCTGTGTGGTGTCCACAGTCCTCATCTCCAGGGTGAGGTCAGTGGGACTGGGAAGGTGGTGGAGAGGTTGGCCTGACCTGTAGCACCCCAAACTGGTGCTTAGCAATGCTCCCAGGAAGATACAAGGCTCCCTCTTGCAGGTGAGATGCTTCTAAGGAGGCTTGTACTAATCCATCCCTACCCTCCAAAAAACACTGGATGGCTCTTTCCTCCTCCCTTTTAAATTCCTGTGGAATTGCATGAGCTTTGGCACAGGCTTGCAAGGAACATCAGTGGGGATTTTTTAGGAACACTTCACTGAAACATGAGAGGAGGATGTTTGGAGCCAAGCTCCCAGAGATTCCAAGACGCCTGCGTGTCTCAGCGTTGCCAGATAAGCAATTTACCCCCTTCCTGCAAGGTCAGCAGGTGTTTTATCCTTCCCAAAGACAGACAAATGAAGGGATGGAGGAAGTCAGGAGTCCTGCCCAGACTGACAGCTCCTGGCAGCAGGAGGGCCTGGCAGTGACAGATTGACTGATGCTCCTTGTGGAGGTGGGTTTGCTGCAATCTCCCTCCCAGCTGCTAAGGTGGGGAGACAACAGAGGTTATTTTCTGTTTGTTTGTTTGTTTCAGAACACACAGTTCAGTCAAATCTCAAGATTTTGCACAAGGGAAGGAAAGAGGCCACAGACAATAATCCAGTTACAGGTTTTCCTCACTTTTGTAAAGAGCAGTGTGCTGTTATCAAAAAAGATCCCAGGAAGGCTCTGGTTTCATGTCAGTCTTGTGCCCTCCTCTTTAAGAAAGCTCAAGGCAACCTTTCAGACTGATTTCCTTACATGAGCTGGAGAACCATCACTGCCAAAAAAGCGCTGCAGCCAATATAATCCACAAAACTATCACATTTTGACAAAGCAAAACAAAGAAGAAAAAAAGCCATCAAGCCTCGAAGTAGCATTGGCGCTGAGCAGTGAGTCACATCTCCCTTTGGGGAGAGGGAGACAGAAAGCCTTGTGTTGTAGCCTTCAGCCTGATTTGTGATGCAGAAAGCAAGAGGAACACAATCAGCCTTGCCTCCATTTCGATTTTGTTTGCATAGCATGTTCTTAATTACAGGCTGTTTCAAGAGCTGTGTGCTGTACACAGCATATGATAAACAGATAAACATAGCTGGGGGTGGAGATGGTCTGCTCTTCAGCATGGAAGAACTTGCAAAAATTTTTTGGAAGTGTCCCATGGTTAGGTAAATAATCTCTCTATTTAGCTGTGTGGAGTAAAGTCCACTGCATCTTTATTTCCTTTGCATCCTGAAGGTGACAACAGAAGAGAAATTGAGCACATGGTTTCACAAGTGTAAGAGTAAGGAAAGGGGAAAGCCGAGTTGCACCAAACATTCACTATCTGACATTAGAACTGAGCAAGCAGTTCCCTCTGAGTGTTATCTGGGCACAAGGACACTCTTTTTTCTGCCTAAATACTGTGCTGGGAAGGTGTGGTTTTTAATAAGAGTGTAATTTGGAGTTATTTGAGTGAGCAGCTCTTTTGTCTAAGGGTTCCCACTGGGCCTGTCCAGGGAGGTGTCAACCCAACATCTTTGAACCTGGCCAAAGTCACTGAAGTGCATGAATCCAAGGGGGCTTCCTCTGTCACAGCTATCCAAGTGACCTCTGAGAATCAGGTCCCACAGTCAGATCATCACATTTCTCAGTGCCAAACTCTCTTGCTGCACAATGTCACCCATCCTCATTAGAATTGCCAAACAACCCCCGGGAAATGCATTCAGCGATGTCGCTGAAGTCACAGCCACAGAAGGGTTGTGAGGACACCAAATTGAGCAACACCCTCCTTTACCCCAGTGATTTTTCAGGGAATGAGCAGCTGAGTTCCTTTTTTAAGAACTAATAATGAAATCTTCCTCCTTTTCAAGTTTAAGTTGATGGCAGCAGGAGCCACAACCTTCATCAAGGCCCACAGACAGCCACGAAAAATAGAGAAGGAAACATTGCTATAGCTGGTGGCTGCCCATCTGCCAAAATAACCTTGTAATTAGCTTATTAAAATTGTTTGAGACTGTCTACCCCGGGGCTTCTTGTTGAATGGAATGTCTAAGAAGGATTTTTGGGAGGAATGCAAATCTATTCTCTTTGTTTCACAGGATGAAAGGGCTCGTTTTCACTGATCCTCGTTTGACACTCCTGAGTGTTTAAATAATCAGAAGAAAGTAAGTATTTTTAAAATCTCTTCCAAATTCTTAAAAGGAAAATTCATGCTCATGGAAAATTTGCTTTATAACAACATGAAGTCCCTCCAGGATAAGCAGTCAGCAGGCTGAAGTTAAGGAGGAAGAGCTCTCCCCAGCCCAAATATCCCCTGGGCATTTGAGCTATCTTTCCTCCACTGAGCAGTCATCATTTTTAGTGAATGTTTGCTCATTATTTCAATCAAAAGATGGTAACTCCTGGAAGATCCACTTAGCTAATGAGTGCTAATAAGAGAGTTACTGTGCAGAATTGCATCAGAGAATGGAATTTGTCAGTGATGTGCCTGGGGGATGCTATCAGTGAGGGCTGCTGTGCCACCAGGCAAGCAGGGATGGTAGTGACTCGACTTCTCAGTAAGTTTTGTGCTTCAAGGGCATCTCCTTCTCTTCAAATCTGAAGCAAGTCACAGCCCACACACTCAATTTTCTTCTCCCTCACTACTGAGCGCAGATAAATGTAAATGTGTCTGGCCTCATAAATCCTTCCATTAAAATGCACCCCGAGGCTACAGGAGAGGTCTGGGAGGCATATTTGGCTCAACCAGAGGCAGCAAACGCAGTGTTGCAGGTTACATGTGGCACAAGAGGGTGGTGTGGTAAAACTGGAAGGCAACAGCCACTTGCAGCACAGAAATGATGCTGAATAGGCCTTTCCTCCTAAGAGGAGTGATGAGCTCAACCCCAGGCTCTCTGTGTAAGCTGTTTGAGAACTGACACATCAAATGCAGCATCGAATGTCTGCTCTGCACCTGGAAACCACCATGGGCTCAGGCACTGCAACTGTGGGGTGGTTCCCGGAATTGAGCTCCCAGCAGAGGGAAAATGTTATGCCAAACTTTCCCTCCCAGACAAGTGTGTGAGCAGGAATGTCCCCACTTTGTCCCCACTCTGCTGAGAAGTTCTCAATCAGGACTTAGAAACCACATCCCAGGCACCCAAATCCTCCCTTATTTTACATACATTTCACCTCGCAGTTTTAAGAACAACAATCTCAGGTTTAACTTTTTCCCCACTACGTCTCCTGACACGTTGAACTGAGCATCTCACAAAACATTTTCCTGACCCACTATTTTGATTTCTAGAAAGAACCGTTTCTGAACTGCTCAGCTCCCTGCACTCAGGCCTAGAGATGCCTGCCAGGGTCTGGAGCTGTGGGATGAGCTTCCCTGTCAAAATCTGGATGTGATTTCCCCCCCCACAGAAACTACCAGAGCACTAGCAACGGAGCAGAAGGGATGGAACCTTCCCCCTCTGAGATTGCTGAGAAACTGCACCACATTTGGCACAGGCTGCGAGGAACATCAGCTGGGCTTTTTTTAAGAACATCTCACAAGAACACAAGGGGAGGCTGTTTGGAGCCAAGTCCCCGAAGATTCCAAGCCCAGCGGGCAGGACCAGCCGCTCCCCCAGCGCTACTCACGTGGTGAAGGCGGGGTTGTACTTTGCACCAAGGTAGTAGGAGTAAAGGTTGAACATCCCAATCATGAAGGCGAGGAACACCATGATGAAGATGACCATGAACTTGAAGATATCCTTCACAGTCCTCCCCAGGGAGATCTGCAGGGGGCCGAAGCTTTCGTTGGCTGGAAGAATGTAAGCAATGCGGGAGAAGCTGAGTACCACAGCTATGGCATACAGGCCTTCTGAAATGATCTGGGGATCCGAGGGGAGCCACTTGTTCCTGGCTAAAACAATACATGGACACGGGGTGTTAGTAACAAAAGAGCGGTAGGTGGAAGCTATCGCGATAAATGACCCTTTTCCACACCGAATTTTGGCTTTGGCCAGAAGATAAAGAGGAAAAAAAACCCAACACCTTTGGAACAGTTGTGCACTGAAGTCCTCAGCATGCTGGAGAATTAGAGAATTAGTTGCATTTTCCATGTGGCAAAGATGAGAAATGAACAAGTCACTGGGATTTACTGAAGCCAAGCAGCAGCAAAAAAAAACCCAGCATGGCTTTAAAAAACTTGGTGTTTTCTGTTTGTTGAATGTCAGCTTTTCCATGTGAAGCTCCTGAGATGGAGAACCAAAAGCACAGCACAGTGGAGTACAGCTATAGATTTTATAAAGGGCACTGTGACAGTGTTTGGGAAGGGAGCATTAGGGAGACTGAGATCTCTATCCCCAGCACTCAATAAGAACGTTAGGATTTGTTCAGATAAAGCAGATATGAAGTGTATAATTTTCATCTTATCTTTACATTAAAACCAGTTCTTGCAGTCTAGTCACTGAAATATTTTTACCTAAAAAAGCTCCTTGTTGATACCAGATACCATAATTTATTTAATCTACTGAAAATTTGAACATTTATATTAACATGGCTTATAAGTGTCCTTGCATCAACTGAGCTTCTTGATGAAAAGATCGTGGCTCAGACCTAAAACCTGTGACATCTTTAGGGCCACAGCATCAAACTTAGGCATTATTTGCAGTAAAATCTGAACCAAAGGAAAAGCAGCAGATGGAGAAATTCACAGGATCTCATTGTGATATTCTGTTCTGGAGCCTTTGCACCTTTGGATCATGAACTCACTTTAAGTGGATCAGCAGCAAACCAGAGAGGGAAAAATATCATCTCTATGGGCTCCCACTTGCCTTGGCAGAAGGAGGGATGTTTTCCCTCAGGGGGGACACACCAAGTAAGGGGCTGAGCTGGTGGGACCACCAGACTGTGGCTCTGCACCTTGCTGTGGGTCAGGCCTGGTGTCCCTGCTGTTGCCTGGGGCAGGTCTGCAGTGTCTGCTGCCTCAGATCTCCCTCTCCAGCCTAAGCACAGCACTGGAACAACCACCTTACAACTCTAGGGAGCAAATGGTGCCCATCTCTGGAGCTCCTGGAGCCCCCCTTGTGAGCAAAAATCCTCCTGGGATTTGCTCAGGGTGACATGTAAAGCTTGCAGAGGGGTGCAGTGGATCCAGTGCCCGTGCTGCACATCAAAGAAAAACCATTTCAGCCATCAAAAATAATGTTGTCAAGGCACTGCTGCTGCTTTAGCACTTACAGGTGATGACTTACAGGCTCTACAAAAACAAAGGTTTTGAGGATTTATGGAGCAGTATTATGGATATAATTGCTATTTTTATTTCCATTATACAGGTGTTGGATGTAACAGAAGCACAAAGTGCACCGACAGTTAGAGATGCAGCCCCACGTTCTAGATTTATTCACACATTTCCCTCCTCTCACATTTGCAAAACCAGGCAGGTTACTTCATCTGTAATGTAAATGATACTCTGCTCACTCCCAGTTCCTGATTATCTGCTGCTCAAGCTACTTTTTCAGGATGTGATTGATCTGAATGTAGACTCGGGACAGTATCAGAGACTGGGCGAGGCTCAGATCCTTTCTGACTGTTTAGGGAGATGGCTGAAATGGGCAGATCTGGGAAGAATAATTTGGTTTAATTGGAAAAAAAAAAAACCAACCAAACAAAAGAAATCTGCTTTCAGCACTGGCACACATTAGCCTAAAAGAACAGTAAGCTTTAGAGAACAAAAAGCATCTTACCATAGGTGAAGTAAGCAACTTCAGGGGGAAGGGTGACATTGTTGAGGTCGTCGTCTTGAACGTACTGGTCCACGTACTGTTGTGCTTCAGAGGCTTTGAGAAAAGCCATGAACCTGGCAGTGAATGATGCTACAAAGATGGACAGCATCCCAAAGTCCAGAAGGTTCCAGAGATGCACCACGTATTCCCGTGGCCCCTCTTCCCAGATCTCCTTGCACTCGGACCAGATCATACCTGAGGAGAGGACAGGGCATGGTTAAACACACAGAAGGGGTGTTTGTGCTCAGACTGACCTGCTTCCTGGCCAACAGTGAAGCAAAGAACTCTTTAATTAAACTCATTCTTGAGAATGGTTTGTGTCATCTTTTCTTTAAAGTTCTTCCAAAATTTTAGCTCATGTGTCCCTTTGTGCTCGTGAGGTAGAAATTTCATAATATCATTATATAAGTCAGTGGCAAAGCTGATTTCTGGTGATGATAGAGAAAGCAGAAATTCTGATGACACTAGAAAATCCTATTGCTGCTATATTTGGGAAAAAAATGTGGATTTCCTCTGTTGTGCCCAAAATCCCCTTGCCAAACAGTGCCACTGAAGATGGCACTGCTTGCCCTGCTGCTGTTTTCCTCCTTCCCTCAGGTAGTGGGTGGGTCCATTTTGAGAATGCAAACAGAGCTGTGCAAGAGAAAAGATCCAGGAATAGGTTCAGTGTGATTAAAGAAAGGGTAAAAGGCAGAAGTTCTGCCCTTCCAATACTTTTCATAAAGCTTTTGGAATTAAATAATGATTTCCCATGCATTAAAGTATGATCTACCACTTTAAACACTAAGTTTAGCCCAAATTCAGGATTTCTGACAACAGGCTTACAGATAAACCTATAAATACCAAATGTAGTGAATTCAAATGCTTTGACATCTATCCCCTACTGGGAAGTACTGGGGCAGGCAGGTGAATTCAGCAGGCAAGAATTCAGGTCAGATTCTCTAACTTGCCCAACTTTCAATCACAGCAGGGCTCCAGGGTCAAACCCTGCTCCTGAATAGATAAAGTGCTGGAATATTTAACCCACTGATAAATATTTCCTGCACTCTCCCCAGCCCTGTTTCCATAGCAGCAGCAAAATTCTCGTTTAATCACGAAGGAGCAGTGCCTGCCCATTTCCACGTGGCCTCCCGCAATCTTCTCCTTCTTGTGAACTCCTTTCATCCTCTCTGCTGGAAGCTGTCGTGGTGTGGCACGGAAATGAGTTTGCTGGGCTACTTCTGAGACTCCTGGAAGCACAGGAGTGTCCCAGGAGGTGCCCTGGAAAGCTGGGTTATGGACAGGGAAACAGGTCAGTGGGAATCCAGCCCGAGGGTGGGGGAGTGGAGAGCTGCTGCTGTCAGTGCCTGCGTGCAGGGGAGGATTTAAGGAGAGAAAGGAAAGCTAAGCTGTCCATACCCCCCCATCAACCAAGGCACAGCCAGCCTGTGACCTCCACAGCCCTGGAGTGGCCAGGTGGGTCCCTGGAGATGTGCCCTGATGTGGGTTATGCCCTGTAAAGCAGAGGGAGGGCAGGAGAGGAACCTCTGCGGGTGCTCGGCTGAGTAAAAGCAGCAACTTCATCCCAAACTGTCACTCAACCACGAGCGAGGTTTAATAATAAATAGCCTCAGGGAGCAGGTGGAAGAATTGGTTTCTCAGGAATTTTCCTGGAGCGAGGATGAAATATTAAAGAGACATTTCTTGCTCTAAAATGCTTTTTAAATTCCCTGGGATGATGGATAGGAGCCATTAGCCCCACGTGTGACGCATGTGTGTCGTGTGAAGGTACGAAAGCTCTCCAGGAAACATCACGTGGCAGCATCACCCAGCAAGGCACTCGCTCGCTGATGACCAGAAATGACTTTTCTGGTTGAAATATTAACTCTCCCATCCAAATTTATTTCTAATCTCGCTCCCTTAATATACCTAAGTCACAGATTAATGGAGAAGGAAGTGTCTAAAACTGAGTAGACTGACTAAAATTAGAATCACTCAGTGAAAGTGTCACACTATTGGCCTATAATCATTCTTTTAGCCAGCTGTGTGGCAATCATTCTTTTTAAAATGTCTATTCAGGATAAGTAGAAAAGTTCCAGGAATTATTCAGCCAGTACTGCTGGATGATTGTATATACATTGGGACAGAGTGTTTCAAAGCTTCTGCTTAAGTAAAAGTACTGAGAAGAGAAAAAGCAGCTAAAATTCAGGGGATGGGACATAAGAGGTAATTTCCCTGAGTCTGATGCACAGGGATGTGGGATATGAGCAGCTCCTGCATGTCTCTTGTTCCCCCAGAGCAGGGATAATCAGAAATGTCACCTTGATGAGCAGGTCTGCTTTCAGCAGGGGAGGGAGAGCTAAGCTACAGGCACAGCCCATCTGGAAGAAAAATGGGAGTGTGCAAGAAGTGCTGCTCACCACCTGTGCACAGAGGAGCAGTTTGTCAGCTTTTATATCCGCTGGCCTGGGACATAAATCAGAGCAGGTGATGTTGCAGAGATGTCTTTGAGCCTTCCTGGATCCACAAAAGGCTGTTGCATTAAGAGATTAACAGTGCTCAGATTGCATCTACCCAGAGTTCAGCTGCTACCCTGGCTGCTTTTGCAGTGGGGATTTTGTCCAGTTAAATGACATCTGCAGCCCTTCCTCGGTCTGCTCACATAACTCCATCATAGAAGGCCACTCAGCTGATCTATGTCAGCCCCTTTTATTTCATTATATTTCTACTTACCTATAAACATTTATAATACCTCTAAGCTTTTAGCACCAAAAGGCTGGGCAGTCACCACCCTTAGTCCTTAAAGTTCAAGATCACACACGGGGCTCAACAAGTGCCCAAGTCCCTGTGCCAGCTTCGGGCCATCTGCACCAAACTTTCACCTCCAGGATTGCTGAAAGGTTTTTGAAGCTTTCTGTAGGCAGGCAGGTGAAATGGCCAGAGCAGATTGTCAGTGCAGATGTAGGCAGTCATTAGAAAATCTCATTATACTCAGGAGTCTGGACAATGAATCACCTCTCTTCTCCCAGAAAAGTGAAAACCTTCGCTCTAAATGAAATGTTTTCTTCTTCATCTCTCAGGAACTCACCCAGCAGACAGATACCTACTGCCTCTAAGAAAAGAATACCTCGCCTAAAATCTAATCATCTTGTCCAACTGCTTTAATATCATTTTAAAAATATATCTTACAGACTTACTCTATCCAGTCTGGCATCTATTCAGTATTTTCCAGCCTAATATCCTGCATGGGATTCTGATTATTGCAGGGACAGGGAACAAAGAAACAGTGGCCAGGAAGTCATCAGATAGAGCAGCCCTATCCTATTTTTCAGGGGATTTAATGCCATCAGTACTTATGGAACAGTGGAATTATTTGCTGCAAGAGAAGAATCCGAATCATGGTGGTGAGCAAAAATAGATATAAAAGAAGCAGAGAAAGATTCTGCAGAGTTGATAAGCTCAATTTCCCAATAAATCCTCCTGAGCTTGTTTAGATTAGCAGTTCAAGCTGACTGATCTGCCAGGAATAAATGGAGCCTGTAGGAAAAGTCATACATCTGAATCTACCTAAAACTCCTTGGAAATTTAACCTGTGCCTGTGACATACTTCTGCACCTGAAGGGTTCACCCACACGAATCCTTACTTTATAATTGTTGAAGAACTTAATTTCTTTTAAAAGATTTGAGCTCTGTGCTGTCCTCTCACCTGTAAAAATGTCACACTGGGAATTTCATAAAACCCAACCTCTTGCTTGCCTGACAGTTTTCATCACTGGATCTCAGAGTGTATTACAAAAAAAAAAAAAAAAGGCAAATAACATTATTTTCATTTTTCAGACAAAATAGCTGAGGTTCAGTGAATTATAATAGGATCATAACAGGATGCCATGGCAGGGTAATAAATCAGGCAGGCTCCCCACACTTCTTTCTGCTCACTTTAGGTGGAACAACATCCTAGACTGAAGTTACAACCTTCTTTTAAGATGCAATGATTAAACCAACAGAGGCCAACAGGCAACATCCATAGCATTTCCCACGGAAAGTGGGAAATCAGGAAAGTGAGAATTTGCCGAGCATCCTTCAACAGCTTCAAAGGCAGTGACCAAAACTAAAATTAATAATTCAAAAGCTGTGACCAAAATGAAACTCTTTTATGGCCTTTTAATCAAAGTTCTGCCATCAGCCTCTAGGCTTATGGTGGTTTGTTTTCAGTGTGGGGGAGTTTTCTTGGTTTGGGGGTATTTTTTTTCTGTCATGTTATTCCTGAGGAGCTTGAATTTCCCCGGAGGACTTGCAGACACTTGGTCTTACTCACCCAACACCCACTTCATGATGAGCAGTTCTGTCCACGAGAACTGGGTGGTTTTGACTCTGAATATTTGTTTCGGGTGGTCGGTGATGGTCTCGTTGGGGAGGTTTTTGACTCCCTCGAATCGATCCGACGCGTTCACCACCAGCAGTCCCAGGAAGATGGTGAAAGACACCGCGTGCGCCACGAACTTCATGAAAGGACTTCTGAGGGTCCGGCCCAGCTGCAGTGGAACACAAAACACACAGAGGATTTTTAATTTTTTTTTTATTTTTTATTTTTTTTATTTATCCACCTCCTGGGAGTTTTTTTTCCCCTGTAAAAATTTGAATATTATTATATTCATATATATAAACATTTGAATTTTTTCCCATAAAAGTTTCTATGGTTTGCCCAAGGTGAGAAGGATTCAGAATTTAATTGTGGATCATTAACTAAATAGGGTATAGATTTGTTCCAGTTGTTATTTGCTATTACTAGACATTATGCTTTGGGTAATTTTCTATCTTATATTGCTCCTTTAAACCCACATGTAATATCTAATTGTGCTGGCCATATGGAGAGTGGAAAATGAAAAGACAGGAAATTTTTACAAGAGACATGTTTGTTTGTAGATGTGAGTATGAATGTACTTATGTGTCAATATAAATCCTAGTGATGGACCCAATTCTCACCCTTAAATTACTGTTATATATTAGAATCTTTTATTAATGGTGAATTCTTGGTTCATTATCAATGTGTAAGAAACAGCCTTCTGTTTAAATATTCTCTAGCAACGCTTTCAGTATGCTTTGCTTTGATAATCTTCTCTCATAATTACTACAAAATCTGGGGAATCACTCCCAGAACACAAGGATTTATTTCAGGACATTAAGCCAAAAACCAGAGCAGCAGCTCTCTTCTCTACAGATAATATTTGTTCCATTTTTCTTGAGAGGTTTTCTTTGTTAGTGAATTTAAATATCACTCTTTTTATTTTACATTTTCTGTGAACTAAAAAAAAACCCAAAAGCCAGAGTAGAAGCATTCTGAGGAGCACTAGAACTGGTGTTGGACACAACAGGGAGCAATGGAAGAGCTGTCCTGGATGGGTCCTTTGCAAACATCCCTCAGAGCAAATTCCCCTTGGTGGCAAGGTGTCATCAAATTTTTCTTAGTATCTACTGACTTAATGATAAAACTTCCTGGGAAATATGCAAAAGGACTAAAAAAGTCAATTCCTTGGGGTTTTATTTATCTCTAACAGTAGTTCAGTTCAAAGGAGCCCAGCTCTCTGGTCATCTAAGAACAGGAAATATTGGAAAAGCAGAGCTCTTGTCATTGTATTTTCAGGCAACAGACTGTACAATTTTTCTGTTCAATCTTTTATCTTCCCTTTTGATCACCAATGAAAAAGGTTTGGGAGACCAACGGTTCATTTCAGAGTCATGGCCTGAAAGAGGTGGATGAGTCAACCCAGATATTTCAGGACAGGACGGGCTTAAACTCCACAGGGCTTGTCAACAGTTTGTGCATCCAGAGGTGAATGAATGACTGACATTAAAATTGGTTGAAAAATAGACAGTTCTGTGCAACTGGATGCAAAAGAATCCTTAAAGCTGAGTTGCAAACTCCAGTCAATACTGTTTGCCAAGTTTTTGAGGGGTATTTGGTATGGAGCAGCCCAACCCCACAGAGCTTTATTAAGGGAAATTTTCCACCAGGGAGGAAAGGTTTGAAAACAAGTTTCTTGCTAAGATACATGAGGGAAGGAATTATTTTGAGATATGAATTCCTGTATTATTCTAGGTGAAACTGCAGAATTTGATCATATTAAGCATGTGATGCACAGTAATATTGGCAAGGACAGCTCCTATAAGCAGTATTCCTCATTAGAGATTTCCTTCATTTTTCTCACTGCCTTAGTCCAGAAATTAATCCCTGATTCATTCCTGGGTATTTGTGTGTCTCTTAAAACAGGCCTGACTTGAGTTAAGTTAAATATCTTCACTATCTGTTACTATGGAAAAATTGTTCCATTACCCAGCTGTGTATCAAGATTGTTTCCATCAGTTAAAACCAAGTAAAACCCTTGTAAAATAGACCAGGACAAAACTGGGCTGCTCAGAATTACAAATCTTCTGCACCACACACAAATCTTCTCTAACACCCCCATCCTTTCAGTGGATCTGCTGCCTGGGGGGAATTTTCTGCAGTGACACTGGGAGAGGATTCAAAGCTCATGGATCAACCCCCAGCCCTTGAACTTAATAGTGATGATTTAGGGGGAGGTGCCAGTTCATGGGGGGAAAAATGCATTTGTTATTCCGTTATTTCTCTCACAATCAAAAAATCAAGGCTCCATTGTTCTGATCAAGGCAAATCTGTGCATGGAAAGACAATCCCTGCCTGAAAGCAATGTCAATTGGACTCTGTGCTGGAAGGTTACATGTTCTTTTTCACAGTCTAAAGTGAGGCGAAAAGAAAGGAAAACTGAAAATGAGAATGCTTGAAAGGTTGAGTGTAATGAAATCAAAGCTGATGAAAAGTTAAATCCCCCCTCCCGCATTTTTAATTTCAATAAACCTACCTCAAGAAATTAAATACAAGTAATTTTCTTAGTAATTTCTTTTTTCTGTTGTATAACCATTTTATTTTTAAATTTTTTAACCTCAGTTTATTTCTCCTTAGTTTTCATGCCTTTCATGTAAATTCCCCACTTATTTCTAGTCCAATTGTTCTCCCCACCTATTGCTGTATTCAAATGTGACCTGTGTAATCTGAGACTGCCCCACAAGTGTTGCTGTTGGCTGGTCCTTTGACCTCTGGGTCTCAAAAACCTTTCTGCTCCATCTGATCTGTATTTAGGAACACTGCAGTATTCCAAATTTCACCATCTTTTCTCTCAAAAGCATAAGGGTTTTATGATTCAGTCTAATCTCTGCAGCACTAAGAAGTTCCCTGGGGCTTGCCAGACTTTCAGGCCCGTGTGCCATAATAATGCTCCACTAACTAAAAACCATGAGTTCAGAAAGAAGGAAAGGGAAGAAAGGAGACTTGGAGAAGGGAGGAACCTGCAACAAAAAGCACATAAAAGTAGCAAGAGTTTAAACATCACTAAAGAAGCAACAAGAGTCTTCTCTCCTTTAGTTATTTCCAATGTTGGTGGCTCTTACTCTTTCTTCACCCCACTCCTGTGTGGTGAATGTGTCCATTTCTTACTGCTCTTTTCTTGTCCCCCACTGCCTCACCCTATTTCCCCACCATCCCACCTTTAAAACAGATGAACCTCAAGCCATGCCTGTTATTTCCAGGTGTGCATGTCAAGCAACACCCCAGGCTTGCTCTCCTGTGGGTACCACGAATCACCTCCCAACGACGTGATGGAAAAAATACGGGACTTCATTCCAGGCCCTGGATGAATTGACCACAGACCCCCTGAGGTCATACCTTGCTGCAGGGAGCAATCCAGTAGGCTATGGCAAGGAAGGGCAGGCCAATGGAGACTCCAAAGACAGCCAAGAACTTCACAGCTATGGATTGCTGCCGCAGGCCGGAGAGGTTCTCGTACCACATGGTGAGCAGCTGCTGCTGGCAGTTGGGGTGAGCAACAAACTGGGGGGAAAACAGAGATAAAGGTGTCAGTGGCATTGTCTGAAGAGGGTGAGATTTCAGGGAATGCCCTGCTGAACTTGCCCACGGGACAAGACAGGGCATGTCTTTGTTGTCACAAACAGAGAACTGCAAAGCAGGCACCCCAAATCCCCAGGTGCTGGCAGAGTCGTGTTCCACTTCTCCTCCTCATCTTCTCTAGAGAAAAGGTATATTTTTTTAATGATTAAAAGGCAAAATGCCTGGGTTAAAACACAAAATCCATCAGTGGACAGCACTGACAAAGTGCCTCTGAGCAAGTTACTTCTTGGGGTAATACAGTCTACACTGAGAATCTAAAAAGAAACAGAGGTGTTTTGAGGTCAAGCTGAAAAAATCCTGTGGTGACTTCCTAGAGACTTAGACCATTGGCATAGTAGGTTTACAAGGCACTAAAATCATCTTGTTATATTCACTGCATGAAGACTAAAAGTGAACCATCCTGCAGGGTTCTCCTGTAAATTATAAGAGATCTGGGCAGTATTTGATGATGCTTTATCTCAGAGTGTCTTTCAAAAAATGATGGCTCCTTCTTTACTGATCAGACAAAAAAAGACAAATCTGAAAGCAGGAGGAAAAAAACTGTGGTGCTCTGGTACAGAAAGTACATGTCTTGTATCCTGGAACTGAGACTCTTCCTCAGTTTATTGTTCAGAGGTAAAAGAAAAGGCAGACAAGGGAAAAGGGCAATTTCTTAATGGCAAAGTTACAGCACCACCAGATCCCACATAACAATTTTATAAAAAAAGATTAAACTTCTTGATTTTGTGTTGTCCTTCCAGATGATTGAATTTAGAATGTGCTAATTGCACTGGCAGAAGTGAGGGTTTCATTTATTAGTTCAGTGGCTGAATAAATGTTCCTGGGAGGGAAATGTAAAACGTTCCACTATTTCAAGGAGCAAAACTTTCTGGAGGTGAAGGGGAGGATGAAGGGGGTCAAGAGGGAAAGAGAGGAGGAAAGAAAAGGTTACTGAGGGCTTGGTGACCAACCTTGCCCTGTGTCAGCCCTTTCAGCTTCACCCAGCTGGGCGATTTCAGCTGTCTCCTGCAGTTTTATTGTAACTGAAAAGTAGAGAAAACTCTCACTGTGCTTTCATCTTCACTATCTGTGAACTTAATGGACTCTTTTTGGCTTGTTTGCATAATAACAAAACTGTTAAATGTGAGTTGAAATGATCAGCTCATCGCTGGTGCAGAATGAAATACAGTTGCACAGTAATTAGGATTGCTGAGCAATAGCACTTTTCCTTCATTAATAGCACATTAGCAGCTATTTAAAATGTGCTTCTTCAGATGAATTAGGCTTTGGGGTCTACATTTCTCAAAAAGAAAAATAAAATTAAAAAAAAAAAGCCAATGAGACTTTACCACTGAATAAGTCAATCAGAAAGAAGACATTTGATAGGCACTTCTGACCTCCTTTGTCTTTTTTTTTTCCTGGAAAAACATTTTAATGTGCTTTTGTTTAAGTTGCTTTCAAAAATACAAAAACTTTCAGAAAAGGTAATTATAAATCATGAGTTGTAGTGCTTCTGAGCATTTAAATTTTAACATGGAGGTGATGACAGCAGTACCACAAGGAGGCATTTCCTAATGTCCAGTGTTTGTGTTAATGCTGCTTGGGGTCTTTATGGTAAATGGACAGAAGGATGAAGTGGAAGGAAGTTTAAAAGAGAATTTCCGCCTTTTGTAAAATTTATTTTCAGATGTGATGAATTCAACAACTCATGGAAAGGAGAATTACACTGGTAGATGTGCAGACTGCTGAGGTGAAGGGCCCAAGCAACACCCAGGCTTCCTCCCCTTGCAACTGTTCATTGCATTATGAGAATTGTTTCAGACAGAGAAGTTCAGTTGTCCTTGGCAATGAGACACTCAAAGACTTGGGCTGGTTTGGCCTTCCAGAGAACTCATCAGACATTTTAATCTGCTCATTTTTCCCCTTTGTCTGGGAACAGCTACAATGAAAATACAAATACAGGAAAATTGAGAGGGAATTGCCATAAAACGCAGCTCAGTGGAACGATTTATTTTGTACAAGGCAATAAAGATGGGCAGCAGGCCCTCGATGGTGCTCATCTCCCTCTGATTATTGCAAAAACGAGGGGAAAAGAAGATAAGAAAGATCAGAGCATGGATGAGTTTGGAGCTGTGGTTTGCTTACAGCAAGCAGGACAGTTTTTCACGATGCTTGCTGTGTCAGACAATAATGGAACACACAGTGACCCCTGGCCACTGCCAGCCCTCTCCCCATCAACTGCTGCTCTCAGATCTCCTCAGAGAGGTTACAGAGCCACTGAACTTCCCTCTTCCCTGGGAATGGGCACTGACACCGAGTTCAAGATGACACTGATGCTTTGCTTCATGACTTGGGCACGGAGAGGAGCAGAGCTTGAGACTGAAGCTTGGCAGAATCCTTCAAAGCGTGATGAAAATCGGTGATACTGAATTTCAGAGGGCAGTGCTTTTTCAGTGTTCCCATTAAGTGCTCTTTTCCTTTTTTTCAGTACTGGAAAATGAGGTTGGGAGGCTTTTAGGGGCAAACTGTGGATGCTCCTGTGCTGCATCCCAGAAGATGAGGGAGGCAGGGAGTGCTGCAGCAAGTGTGGTGTGAGCAGGGCTGTGCAGAAGGGTGAGATAGCTCTGACTGAAATGGAAGCCCTGGCAGGGAGGGGATTGCCTGGCTCCAAACCCAGCCATTTAAAAGCATAAAGTGCTTTATCTCACAGTCCCCTCAAAGCTGATAAGGGTAATGCAGCAGGATCTGGGAGCTCAAGAAAAACGTTTTCCAGTGCTTCTGCATTCAGGAGCCACAGTGGGAGCTGCTCTGGTCCCATGGCACTGGGACCCCAGTAGATGGCACTGGTTTTTCCTTATACCTCTGATTTGGGAAGGAAATTGTGCTTCCCTCCAGCCTATCAGTCACACAGCTTTTTAAATGAAAAAAAAAAAAAAAAAGGCTAAAGAAAAAATATAATAAAGTCACACACATCAATCTGAAGAGCCAGCCCTAACAACAAAGCTGCCAAAGCAGCATTTTTGAGAGGCACTGAAAGACTCAGCAGAGACATTTCCAAAAGCCCCTGTCGTGTGCCACAGGGGATTACATGATAGAGATGAATATTTTTTCTGGAATATGGAAAAAAAGCCTCTGAAAGCCTTCAGTGGGAATTGAAAGGGCCCAAAGGAACTGTTTTACACACAGAAACAGTGTTTGAGGCCGCTGTGGAAACCACATTGAGCGATAACTTTTCCGTGTTGCCGTCTAATTTGATGCATGACAGCTCTTTCTGGTAACTCAGCAGGTATATGCATTGTGGGAAAGCACTTCACAGCTCTCACTTTCTCCTCAAAATACTTGTTCAAAAATGCAGGAGTTTCACTACACAGATGATAAAGTACCTGTATGCCTCTATAAATACATGGGAAGTTACTTCTGGTAGAAAACACTGTGATAGAGAGACTTTTATTTTCTGTTTTCTATTATATTGAACAGAGAAAGAGCCTGTGAGGAGGAAAATGTGCTGTTCAGTATTAGCACTGGCTTGCCTAAGCTGCCAGTGCTTAGGCACTGTTTAAAACAGTCCTAAACCCCTCATGGTCCCTGTTTTAAGGGCATCCCTCCTATCCTGTGGTACATAACAGATAAGCTACAACCAGGTGACAAAAACAAAAAAACCCCAAAACAGGAAATTCTGGAGTGTCAAACAATGCTCAAACATCAAATAGGAAAAAAAGGGAAAAAAAAAGAAATATAAGAGAGAAAATGAGAAAAGAGAGAAGAGAGAGAAGAGAGGAAAGAGGAATCTCTACCTTGAACAGAAAATAAGGAAACTTATAGCAAGACAGGTAAAAGACAGAGGTCAGCTCAGATGCTTGGAATTAATCATGCAAAAAGAAACCAGTATCTCCTTTATTATTGAAATAATTCTAATTCCCTTAAAAGGGTAGAAATCTCCTACTGAGGCAAAAGAATGAACCACCCTGACAGGATCATTTCACTGCCAAAGCACCCTACCCTGCATAGCCAGGGGCTGAGGTAGGAAGGAAAAACTCATCAGGGAAGCAGTGCAAGCAGTTTAAAAACCTGCTTGTCAGATCTAACAAAGCAAAGCTGGGACTGGAACATCCTGAGGTGCTCCTGTGGCATCCTCTGAGCTTGTCCCTTCCCTCTCAGCCTTGTGGCAAACCTCAGTGTGTTTCATCACTGAGGGAGAGCTGGAAAGGAGCCGCATAAATAGATTTTCAGGAGAACATTGGTGATGTCAAGAGACACTGGCAGGGGCAGGGATGAGCCCTTTCTCTTCCCATCATGTTGCTGCATCCCTGTCCTTCAAACAACCCTTCTGAGTTCATTATTAAACATTTATCTTTTGATGTAGTTCATCAGTTCTGCAAGCCTACGATGAGAGCACATTTTAGGCTGCAGCACCTGCTCATGTGAAGCCTGGATGGGGTGTGTAATGTTGCAAATACTGGAGATGTGAGTTAAAATGCTGGAGATGTGAGTTAAAATGCTGGAGATGTGAGTTAAAATGCTGGAGATGTGAGTTAAAATGTTGAAAACCCTTTGGGTGACTCATTTGGGTAACCTTGTAGCCTCTGAATTACAGGCAAAAGTGAGGGGGGCAGCAAGTGGGTTGTACCCCTGGGTTTTTCAATTTTGCCACGGCAGGAGGCTTGGAAATGGATGATCTTTAAGGTCCCTTCCAGGCCAAACCATTCTATGGTTCCAAAGAGGGTTGATGATGAATTAAACTTGTGTCAACATGCAAGGGGCAGAGAAACAAAATGAATGAAAGGATTAGAACAGAACAGAATTTCTTTGCCTTCATGGCTTTTTCCAGTTTTGAAGATTCTTTCGATGTTTTAAGCGTTTTTAAGACTTGAAGCCTAAATAAAGAGCCTGGATTTATACTGAATAAAATACTTTTCTTGAACTGAAATGTACTTTCTGGGGGG